GGCTGCAAGAGTGTATACTCCCCAGGGGAGTTGATATTGACATCCAATGATCGAGGGAAAATATACCAGCGCCTTGAGCATGCACTAATTGCGTGGATATGTGCACTATATAAATATCCTAAAATATAATAATGATAAGTGGAAAATGGACCGTCTCGGTGATGCAACGTCTAATCAGGGTCTGGAACGTCGGGGATGGATTCTCCTGGATGTAATATGCAAATTGATAAACACAGGTAATTCTGGTTGGCCTGTCTGGCGTTCAAAACTAGAGACTATAACTAAGACTCAGATTGTATTTGTAGGAAGGTAGGCTTACCGTAGGCCAAGCACATAGCCCCTGATACAAGCGGTAGATTGGTTTGTTTATTGTTTAACTTACCAACATTCCAGCTATATGGTGTCTGGTCCAGACTCGATTATTTACAGACAGGCGCCATATAGCTGGATTATTGCTCAGTGCGACGTTAACCGCAAACAAAATAGAACCTCGCATAGGATGATCTGGTTAAAGAAGCGTCCATAAAATATCAAGTTACATGCCGGCGAACCGTATACGAGTACTTGCAGTGTTGATCAAAGAACAATGAAATACGTACCTTTTCTAGCGTTTAAAAGTAATTACTATGTATCTAAAATTTCTACAAATTTGGCTGGCTGAAGAAAGTGTGAATGTTAGATGAATTGTCTGTGTGTAGCTGTTTACAGGACTCTTATTATGGAAACTAAATTGTCGACCCTTCTAAGAATCAAAATCAATAAGAGTCAAGCCGTGATTGATTTTGATAAGAGTTTTAGAGCAGGTGAGTATACATATTTTGTTCATATTTCGGATTAGACAATATTATGTAACAAATTTGCTGTGATGTTATTTATTCGTGTGTTTTGAAATAAAATAATATAAGCAAGAACCATTTCGAGAACCTTTGTTGACTTGACAGCGTATCTTTAGCTCACCTGACTTATGTCATGGTCCAGATCCTCAAACCAAAACATGAGTCTCATTAACCAATTCAGACAATGACCTACTTTTCAGCCGATCCGAATTTTCGCGTGTGAAAGCGAAAAGAGACACTGCAAACAACTCTGGTTACACTGAATTTCAATTCCTGGTTTCATAAGAAAATGGTATTTACAAATTAATTTTAATTCTAAACTTTAAACAAATCGTATTTCTATATGTTATGTTGAGGTTAGGCAGCATGTCGTTAACTCAGACGTCACAGACTGCCCCTGTTTGAAGAGGTCGTACAATGATTCACAATTCATCTGGCTCACCTGTTATGTGTTCTTTGCGCTTATTAAGTGTATTTTTGTAATGTACAATGTGATTGATATAATATCAAGTCCGTACCAGACCGCCAAACTTTTATAGCGGCCGAGCCTCGTTTTGAGATTTCCACGATTTCCAGATTTCCGTTTGTCAGAGCTCGCTGTACGACAGAGCACGCTGCACGACGTGTTTGCAAGGGTTAGAAGGAGCGTAGTGTTGCAATATACAAGTAATTAGATGTATCAAATTATACTGATTATTATTATATTCTTAAGGGTAAAATACTGTAAATATTGGTGAAAATAAAAATGGTATTTTCACTGAGTAGAATAGCATGTTATTTCACTGAGTAGAATATCATTTTTCCTGGAACTCAAGGGCTAGACTGTAGTTGGGTTGTGTAATAATATGCAGACTTACTCAATGTCTCGATCCTTTATAAACAATGAGCAAAATATAATAAATAGAATATTTTGTTAATGTTATCAAATAACATGTATATTTCATCTCGTGGTCTGACAAAGTTGATATGTTCACTCGTGGCTGCGTTGTTATTTGACATTAACAAAATATCCTCTATATATGTATATATCCAGTTGAATGAGTTGGTGTCAAAATCTTGACGGGTTATTGTACTAAGCTGCGTAATAGGACGGAACCCAGTCAGCAGTAAACGTGTTATTTGACTTGTCATAATCAAACTTCACATGTTACGCAAATGTAAACATTTTTGGTTTCATTATTATCGGTGGGGTAGCCTAGTGGTTAAAGCGTTCCCGCTTGTCACGCCGAACACACTTTAAGATAAACTGAACTGCATTGCATTTCAACATTGTTGTACAATGTAACATATTACGTGCATTAAAACATATTGCCAATATGAATATATATATAAAGATCAAAGTATGATTATATATATATTATATATTATCATACTTTGATCTTTAATACGCACACAAACCGTGTTAAGTCGCTCTGTTGCGATTTTATACTGTTGGCCACTTAACCAGGAGAGCTACGGAACCTTGACCCTACTCTCTATTACTCCTTGGATCATAAAAACGATGGAATAACAAATGCATATTGCATGGCAAATTAATTAAAAGCAGTGAAACAGTTTTATATGTAAGCAAGTTCGTTTATGTCCTCGCCTCAGCATGGAATAGTACTTGAAATCACACGGAAGAACAATACCACAAAACAACGTTGTTTACATTATCAAACATTTCTTTTGCGGATACGCACGTAACATGCAGGTACTTTATTGAATTACTCGGGTCGTACACACGGGAATGTAACATACATATCGCCCAGCGAATTTGTTTCATTATGTTTGATACTGTTTCTATATGGTACGATACTGGTAGATTTCCGGTTCCATGTGTTGTCATTTTAAGCAGGGATTGGTCAGTGCGATCTGTCATTCAACAAATCATCTTACCCATAGTTAATTTAGTAGCGCAAAGTGTTAATAATTAAATGAGTTGCCCTAGTTTCACAGTGAACACTTCATGCAGCGTTACAAACTAGCATCTCTCAAAGTGAGTGAGTGAGTTTTGTGTAACGCCCCTTTGAACAGTAAGCTGTGGGTGAGCCTGCAATGGCGCAGGTCTTAGTCGGTTAGAAAGAGCACGTCTGTAGTGCTCACACACCTAGTAACAGGACCATGGTGAATCTGTTACTAGAATCAATATTCAGGCTAGGACCATAACCAATATTCATTGATCCGTGAAGATCCGGGTTAGAATTGATCTTCATTAACCCATGCTTGTCGTAAGAGGCGACTAACGGGATTAGGTGGTCAGGCTCGCTGACTTGGTTGACACATGTCATCGTATCCCAATTGCGTAGATCGATGATCCTGCTGTTGATCACCGGATTGTCTGGTCCAGACTACGATTATTTACAGACCGCCACCATGTAGATTGAATATTGCTGAGTGCGGCGTAAAACTAAACTCACAAATATTAGTCAAAGGCGCCCAAGGGACGCAACTCTCACAATCAGGATCCACGACGTACATGCACCCAGTTCTATTGCAGACATCACGTAAAGTGTTGTGTAATAAATGTGCTTGTTTGAGTTCCCTGACCAGGAAACAGAATCTAGAAACAAATGACTTTATTGAGCGGTTTTATACATAAGGCAAAAATGCAGTCAATCATAAAAATATACTTTGTACATTTTGTTACAAAACAGAATCTACTGAAAAGTAAAACGATAAAAAAGGTTAACAATCAGTAATACGAAAATCACTTTTATAATATACTTGGTGATTAAACATATCACAAACAGAGTGTGTTTTTGTAGGGTAAACATAATGTACTTCGAGCCAACAGGAAGCTCGACACTTCTTAGTTCGACATAACGGTGTTTGAGTGAGTAAGTGAGTGAGTTTGGTTTTAGGCCGCTTTTAGCAATATTCCAGCAATATCACGACGGGGACACCAGAAATGGGCTTAACACATTGTACCCATGTGGGGAATCGAACCCGGGTTTCGGCGTGACGAGCGAACGCCTTAACCACTAGGCTACCCCACCGCCCCTTACGGTGTTTGACTGTATTAGGGATACAAATTTGCGTGTGTGGTTTATAGCATATTCTCTTCATTAAATTATTTCGAATACGGAAAAAGATAATAACATCGATTCATTATGTTTTAAGCCATTTCATTGTTAACAGTAACTTTCAAAACGCTAAATATCTTACCAAACATTGGGAATACAAAAACAATTGTGCCTGCCTGTGCCGAATATAATACGTACTCTATATTCTAAATATATATTTAAGCAGGTAACATATTTAAGTAATAACTCGTTCTTAAACTAATCGAAGTATATAGAAAACGTAGTTTCATTCATTTGAGCAAGTTGAGTTCAACCCTACGAATCTGAAGCCTAGGCAAACCGCCTCATTAATTGCATCGTGTGAAGATCGAGACCCGTGAAGTTCCGCGTTAGCTAGTTTGCTCTTCAGCAACCCATGGTAAGAGGCGACTAACGGGATCTGGTTGTCAGACTCGCTGACATGGTTGAAACGTCATCGTATCCCATTTGCGTAGATCGAGGCTCGTGTGTGAATAACATATTATCAGTTCCAGACTCGATTATTTACAGACCGCCGCTCGAATATTGCTGAGTGCGGCGTAAAACTAATCTCACTCACTCTCACTGGATCTTGACCTGGATCTTGATCACACATCGGACAGGTTCTTCGCATAGAAAACGCATATGATAATCCAAGTTTCACCATGAGTATGGGTATCACATTTCACTTCACACATCACATAAGCTGCATCACCACAGTCACAGATGATCTCACATGTTTCACAAACAGTTTTAGTACCGTAAGGTGAGGTGAGGTGAGGTGGTGAATTGAGTTTAACGTCGTGCTTGAGAATATTTCGCTCATATGACGACGTGCATGCGTGTGTATGTGTATGTGCGGCTGCTTGTACTAGCCCAGACTGAAGCTGGTTTTATAGTGCTAGCCCACTGAGATACCATGCCGCAGTGAAGCATGAATACCCCACTCAGACACATTATACTGACTCCGAGCCGACCAGTTCTTGCTGTACCCATTAATGCCGAGCGCCAGGCAGGGACCAACAAGTAACATATTTTAACGTCTTTTGGTATGACGCGGTCGGGGATCGAACCCGCGACCTTCCGCTCTCCGGGCGGACGCTCTAACCACTACACCACGGAGGCGGTCTAGTACCGTAAGGACATACATTAGCCAGGTCCTCTTTTCTTTCTGCATATAAATTTGAAAATTTGGAAAATGTACGTGGAATCGGCCACAAGAAAGAGTCCACCTGTGGCAACTAGAACCGCGATACCCAGAAATCCGATGTTTTGAGCACTCGGTCTGTTGTCTGGGACACTGATTCTCTTGCGAATACTCTTGGATGTTTTTGATTTGTCGACAGTTAAAAATAAAACAATTTCTTCAATTTTCTCCTCAAGGGTTTTGTTGTCAGTCGAGTTGCAATTGCAGGAACAGATGTCATATCCCAGCAGACCCCAGGCGTCTGTGACAAAAAGACAATTGTAAGAATGGGTACGGTACTATCATGTCTATGTCTGCTTTATAGTAACCGAATTTAAAACGTCAACGCTGGATAACAAGCCTTCTCGAATATTTACCGAAACAGATTCTACTGAGCATAAAAGGCAAAAGAATAATGAAAATTGTATGAAAGAATCACTGAAAATCAGTATGAGGTGTTCGCGCAAATGACAGGCATGCCCAGTCTTACTGGTAACATCACCCATTCACACGATACGCATAAAGAGGAAGTATAGATTTTCTGACACCTCACAGTAGAGCACTGTCATGTGACGTCGGCTTGCAACCAGCCAATCAGATGATCCCGCCGGAAGCACCCACTCACACACATAGGCGTTCTTTGCCCGAGGGGCGGTGGGGTAGCCTAGTGGTTAAAGTGTTCGCTCGTCACGCCGAAGGTCCCAAGCCCATTGCTGGTATTGAGTTGTGTGCCAATCTGGGGAAGTGGGTTTTCAAGCCAGACTAAAAGTCTGACAGTTCTTGAATGTTTCTGAGAATATCTAATCTAATAAGGGGAATCTCAAACCTTTTGAGAAGTTCCTGTCACTATGGAAGCTGGAGTAGGATTTTGGCATAGACAACAAATGCAATGATCGAAAAGTTCGAGATAGAACATGATCTTTGATAAGATTACAGCTGTATGAAAACAACATCTTTATTACTTGTAACATTTCAGGGTCGCCTCTCCATCAAGTGAAAGGCCACCTGATGAAGGGGCAAGATGTAGTCTTAAATAACACAGGCAGAAGATGTATCTTGTTTTCATGTTTGTCCAACTCTTAAATGGGGGCGGTGGGGTAGCCTAGTGGTTACAGGGGTCGCTCGTCGTAATATTGCTGGAATATTGCTGAAAGCGGCGTAAATCTACTCACTCAGTCACTTACATGCCTTTAGGTGGAAAGTTGAATAACGTGAGAAATTTATCTTGGATCACCTTACACGATAGAAATTGATGTGGATCTACTACATTGGAGACAGTAAATATTGTCTTCTTTACAATGATACACACTTGAGCTCGATAAAAAAGTATTACAAATCCGGTATATCCATAATATACCAGTACATCAACAATGCAACTTCAGGAGAATTTATTTGATTTGTAAGGGCAATTTTCCGAACTGTGTACATAAAAACTTTGTATTTACTCAGCACTTTTGAGTGAGTAAATTAAGTTTTACCCCGCTTTTAATAATATTCCAGCAATATTACGACGAGCGAACCCTGTAACCACTAGGCTACCCCACCGCCCCCATTTAAGAGCTGGACAAACATGAAAACAAGATACATCTTCTGCCTGTGCTTCACGCATTGTACCCATGTGGGGAATCGAACCCGGATCTTTTGTGTGGTGAGCAAACGCTTTAACCACTTGGCTACCCTACCACCCTCAGCACTTTTGCACAATCGATTCATTCGTTTATTATGAAAATAACCAAACTTGACGTTTTTGGTTATTTTAATAACAAACCAATATAAATATGACATTTAAAATAGCCCTGCCCCCCTTCCCCAGACCCCCTCCCAAAGTCAAAACGAACTCAGTTAATTCAACTATCGAGATGTATTTTGTTCTGTAAAAAGACTGCATACCAGCAAAAGACTGTGTGGTAGAGTTCACTGTAAGCCCATTAGCTGTTGTAGTCGTCGCTGCTGTTTGCGATACAGATGGCGCCCCTGTTGCTACTGTAGATGGAGTAGGAGTATTAGTTGCCACACTGGTGATGACTGAACTGGTGGCTGCTGTTGCTGCAGACGTACTGGTCGGTATAGGTGTAGTAGTAGTAGTCAAAGACGTGACTGCTGAAGTGCTGGTAGCTGATGGGGTAGATGTTGGCGGAGTGGCGGTTGTTGTTTGAATAGTAGTTGTACCGGAAGCAGCGGTCAGAGCGACAGTCGTTACTGGCGTAGCAGATGTACCAGTTGTAGTGGTAGGAGTGGCGGTTGGTGTTGGAGTCGTAGTTGTACCGGCAGCAGCGGTCGGAGCGACAGTCGTTGTTGGTGTAGTAGATGTACCAGTTGTAGTGGCAGGAGTGACAGTCGTTGGAATGGTAGTTACAGTAGTTAAAGTTGTCGGGATAGTGTTTGTTGTTGGAGTTGTAGTCGTACTGGTCGTTGTTGGAGTTGTAGTCGTACTGGTCGTTGTTGGAGTAGTAGCTGTGGTGGTCGTTGTTGGAATTGTAGTAGTACTGGTCGTTGTTGGAGTAGTAGTTGTAGTGGTCGTTGTTGGAGTAGTAGTTGTAGTGGTCGTTGTTGGAGTTGTAGTAGTACTGGTCGTTGTTGGAGTAGTAGATGTAGTGGTCGGTGTTGGAGTAGTAGTTGTAGTGGTCGTTGTTGGAGTAGTAGTTGTAGTGGTCGTTGTTGGAGTAGTAGTAGTAGTTGTAGTGGTCGTTGTTGAAGTTGTAGTTGTCGTAGTGGTAGTGGTCGTAGCCAGTTCAGCCATTGCTGTAATAGAGACAGCCATTTAATCATGGGTAAGACTACAGAATACCGGATACCTTCCGCCATCTTTGAAAGCACGCGAGTTACTTAGGGTTAGGGTTAGGGTTAGGGTAGGTTTAGGGTTAGGTTTAGGGTAAGGGTTAGGGTAAGGTTTAGGGTTAGGTTGAGGGTAAGGTGTAGGGTTAGGGTAAGGTTTAGGGTTAGGGTTAGGGTAAGGTTTAGGGTTAGGGTTAGGGTTAGGGTAAGGTTTAGGGTTAGAGTAAGGTTTAGGGTTAGGTTTAAGGGTTACGGTTAGGGTAAGGGTTAGGGTTAGGATAAGGTTTAGGATGAGGGTTAGGGTAAGGTTTAGGGTTAGGGTAAGGGTTAGGGTTAGGGTAAGGTTTAGGGTTAGGTTTAGGGTAAGGTTTAGGGTTAGAGTAAGGTTTAGGGTTAGGTTTAAGGGTTACGGTTAGGGTAAGGGTTAGGGTTAGGATAAGGTTTAGGATGAGGGTTAGGGTAAGGTTTAGGGTTAGGGTAAGGGTAAGGGTTAGGGTTAGGGTAAGGTTTAGGGTTAGGGTTAGGGTTAGGGTTAGCATTAGGATGACATGACACTAAACAATATTGCTGGTAGGTATCCGGTATTCTGTTAGGTGTACCTAATCATGAAGAATTATGAATTCGCATTCTCGAGGTGTTACACAAATGAGAATCGCAACGAACACGAATGACTCCGACTGTCCAAGCATGTAGCAGTTCAAGCATGGTGTTACCTTGTCCTGCAATGCAGTCAGTACCGGGGTCAGATCTGGTGTCAGGGCTGTTCTGATCATCGGTGCCATCGTAAGCCCCTGGAAGCATAAACATATCAAAATCAAAAGTTTGTTGGAGGAGGCTGTAATATTGGCAGATGCATTCTATAGGCATCAACAATGGTACGATGACATTTGATGTAACGTCACTCTTATCAGTATTTCGCTGACAGCATGACGTGGTAAACGTGGAAGTATACAAATGTGAATGAGTGAGTTCACTTTTACGCCGCATTCAGCAATATTCCAGCTATATGGTGGACCAAACAAGCCAGTGAATAAACCATTGCAATTGGGATACGATGACATGTGTCAACCAAGTCAACGAGACTGACCACCCGATCCCGTTAGTCGCCTCTTACGACAAGCATGGGTTACTGAAGATCAATTCAGTGGTTTTACTGTGAGGCGGTTCTTTCTATTTGAGACTCGATACTTGTGGCACTGAATTTCGACTGTAGTTAAAAAATAAATTGATACGCAGTCAGTCAAGTCAGCGTTCCAATACTCAATCCCTTTAGTTGCTCACTGCGACAAGTCTAGGTTCCCGGGCACCGATTCGAACCCGGAATACACTCAGGGACTCGGTAGAGTTCAGCATCCTGCTACTTGCTACCCATGTCCCCATCACGACAAATATTACCAACCAAGTAAATATGCAAGCTTGAGAACGAAGGAAAAGATAAAATTGTATTATTATCAATGCGAAGGCTGTCTCATCTTTAACATTTTTCAAACGGCATATTTTCGCTCGCCACGTGAAGACCCGGGTTCGATTTCCCACATGGGTACAATGTTTGAAGCCCATTTCTGGTGTCCCCCGCCGTGATATTGCTGTAACAATGCTAACAGCGGCGTAAAACTAAAGTCACTCACTCACTCACTCTGGCTTCAATAAACTGTCACTAAAAATGTGTTTATGCTTGTGAACTCACCAACAAAACATTTCTTGGCGTAAAAGGTTGACGAATCCAAAGGACTGCCTAGCGGAATCGGACCACTGGCAACGTGGAATACACACGACGAAGCAAAGGTTACTCCCCAGCACTCCACTGATGCGTCTTTGTAGATGGAACATTTGAACTGGCAGGCTTGGAGGTTCAAAATATCTGACTTGGAGACGGTCGCTAATACGCTGATAGACACATCCTGGTTTTGTCGATGAAAAGTGCAATTACCTGAAAGGAATATAGATAATTCCGCCATATAGCTGGAATATTACTGAGTGCGGCGTTTAACGCCAACCAAACCAAACTGCCTGTATGTCAGATGTTGGTACAACAAATGGACATTCCTGGATTCTTTGTTAATGGTACTGGTGCTGAAGGGGTCTTTGTCGGCACAGGGACTACAGTACCCAAAGGTGCGCTTCTGTGTGCAGAAATGTACCCTAAACAAAGTAACAACAAAGAAACGTACCTAGTACCCTAAATGTGCGCTTCTGTGTGCAGAAATGTACCCTAAACAAAGTAACAACACGGAAACGTACCTAGTACCCTAAATGTGCGTTTCTGTGTGCAGAAATGTACCCTAAACAAAGTAACAACACAGAAACGTACCTAGTACCCTAAATGTGCGCTTCTGTGTGCAGAAATGTACCCTAAACAAAGTAACAACACAGAAACGTACCTAGTACCCTAAATGTGCGCTTCTGTGTGCAGAAATGTACCCTAAACAAAGTAACAACACAGAAACGTACCTAGTACCCTAAATGTGCGCTTCTGTGTGCAGAAATGTACCCTAAACAAAGTAACAACACAGAAACGTACCTAGTACCCTAAATGTGCGCTTCTGTGTGCAGAAATGTACCCTAAACAAAGTAACAACACAGAAACGTACCTAGTACCCTAAATGTGCGCTTCTGTGTGCAGAAATGTACCCTAAACAAAGTAACAACACAGAAACGTACCTAGTAATACCTAAATGTGCGCTTCTGTGTGCAGAAATGTACGCTAAACAAAGTAACAACACAGAAACGTACCTAGTACCCTAAATGTGCGCTTCTGTGTGCAGAAATGTACCCTAAACAAAGTAACAACACAGAAACGTACCTAGTACCCTAAATGTGCGCTTCTGTGTGCAGAAATGTACCCTAAACAAAGTAACAACAAAGAAACGTACCTAGTACCCTAAATGTGCGCTTCTGTGTGCAGAAATGTACGCTAAACAAAGTAACAACACAGACACGTACCTAGTACCCTAAATGACGGACGAGTCCATATTCCGCCAACCAAAACCGAGAAGTATACGGTTGTTCTCGTTCAACTGATTGCGAGTGGTATTTTACACCGCGAGTTATTCGTTACAATGTATGCTCGTTACTATGGAATCCTGGAAGGGACATTGTCGCGTTGTCGCATTGTCGCCCTTTCAAATACAAGCAAAATTAACCAAAACACGACACGCGACATCGCGACAACGCGACAAATGGTCGAAATGTCGCGTTGTCGCGTTTTGGTTTATTTTGCCTCACTTTACTTGTTTTTGAGAGGGCGACAATGCGACAGAGCGACAATGTCCCTACTCGGATTCCATACGTTACAGTGTATGTTTCTTACATATCGCATCTCATGCAAATGTATGACAGTTCCGACAGAAAGACGGAACAATGTTGAATGGAATCATCCTAGGGCACGTTTTTGCATTCTGACTGTGGCTAGTGTACATTTCTGTATACATAATATAGAAACGTACACATCTGTTGCACCCGTGTCGACAACGACCTCTTCAGCATTGGTGATAAACAGTGTCTTGGTAATGTATTTCAATTCAGTTTACCTCCGACCGACTCGCAGAATACCATTTTCTTCTGATTGCAAGACTCTGCCCTCCAGGCAAATACAGATCCCTCTTTCACAATTTTCACGCACTTGTTGGAATTGTAGTTAAGAGGTTCATTGGTGTACCAGTCACTCCAGGACGTCCCTTCTTGACCGTGCGGCGTACATCCCTCGGCCCAGCTGTAGCCGAACTTCGTGGAGGAGTCGGGGTCGTGTAGGCCTATCCAGCTATCCTGGCTGGAATAACATTGTTATACATGTATGATGGCCTTTATATTTAGTGATGCAAGTTCGAAATAACATCTTTGCTTTTAAAGAAACATTTCATTACATGTAGAGAACAACTGTTCTGGAACTTTGACGATCAATGAAATGACTAATAATTCGACATGGGGGAAAAATCTCAGACGATTTCTCATTTGATTAAACTCACTTTCGCGTGAACTATAACCTGGGATTCGAAATTATATCCATGGGGTTCTGTTCGCTGCGTGCGTGCGTGCGAGCGGGAGTGCGTCTGTTGATGTGTGTGTGGGTCTGTTTTTTTCTTCACTTTTCTTGAATGGGTAACATCGCTTGAGAGTCCTATTGAAAGTTTGAGGGGGCCCGGATTTCGGAATATACCACTTGCTTTCAACGCGAATTATTTAGTCATGAAAATGAATACGTAAGTATCTGGTATTACTGCTACAACGGGTACTGTTCCATTGTATGTTAGGGACGGTGGGTACCTAGTGGATAAAGCGTTTCTCGTCACGCCAAAGTCCTCAGCCTTGATATCGCTAGTATATTGCTGAAAGCAATGCTCACTCACTCTCTCCATCGTGTGACCCGTGAAGGTCCGTGTTAGAATGGGTCTTCAACTACCCACGCTTGTGGTAAGCGGAGACTAACGGTATCGGGTGGTCAGGCTCACTCACTGACTCACTCGCTCACATGTCATCATATCCTAATTGCGTTTAACTGCTCATGAGGCCAGTCACTGGATTGTCTGGTCTAGACTCGATTATTTACGGATCGCCGTCATATTGCGGCGTTAGGGTACAGTCAAACCGTTGAACAAAGTACAAACATTATTCATATTGCCTGTGCCTGGTATGCCTAATGAATCGTAATTATGTTTGGTGTGTATCAATGACAGAAACGCGTTATTTCCCTTGTGATGTTGTGTTGAAAGGGAAAGGGACTCATAAGCGTTTATAAATAGTGGATGTTGTTGTAGCAACAGACCGATCAACATTTCTACAGTCAACCATACAAGAACCTAGGAAGCGGTAGGGCACTTAATGATCCGGTTACGTTGACGGGACGGTTAATAAACACAATATGGAAATAAACGATTCAGTACGTTTCCAGTAGTCTTTCACTGGACCTTGGCGAAGTCAAAGGTTGTTGTCATAGTTGTCGTTTGATACGCTGACCGAAAAAACTGTTGGAAAAGCAAATATGTATTCTAAGGAATGCAAATTGTAAACTTCTTCTTAACAACCATCGGGCGCAGAGCGAGTATTCGTCTCATGTTGACCACCAGAATATTGTAACATATGTTATATTTGGGATTACACTTTATTTGTAAATTGCTCGCAGAGATATCGAAGAAATACAATTACAAATACTGACAGTCATTTATGTCATCAAATGATATGAGAGGGACTACTTTAGTTCCTATCCAAAACTGACGGATTTGTGACAAAAATATCGAATTTCCTATTCTGACTTGTACCGTTTGTTAGATTGACACTTGGCTTGCCTTTGCACGTGTTTGTGATTCATAAATACCTGTATATGATTTTAAAGTGGACTCTATTGTTGTTTTATGCTTTATCTGTAATAATGTCTGAAGACCATTTAAGTATCACCCGTGAAGGTCCGGGTTAGAATATTGATCTTGTCGTAAGAGGCGACTAACGGGATCGGGTGGTCAGGCTCGCTGACTTAGTTGACACATGACATCGGTTCCCAGTTGCGCAGATCGATGCTCATGCTGTTGATCACTGGATTGTCTGGTCCAGACTTGATTATTTACAGACCGCCGCCATATAGCTGGAATATTCCTGGGTGCGGCGTAAAATTAAACTCACTCACTCACTCCACATTTAAGTATCCATTAATAATACGTTCATAGCTTTTACAGGGAAGAACTTGAGTCATCTTCTCGAAACCTGTATCAGATTTACTGGTATACATCTCGACAAGCATGATGGATGTCGTATAAAACAGCGGTGCAGTAATGATTCAATAGTTATATTACGACCAAATATTCACCCGGAAATATACGAGGCTCTATTTGCAAAATAGTTGTCAAGACGGTCCCCCGACCATCCTCTATACTCAGGGGAAGTATGATGTCATTCAATTATGATGCGTGGGCCCTGGACTAGGTCTCTACTATAGCTTTGCTGTGAGTCAGATTCGAATGACATACAATATATTTTCACTTTGAATGAGAGAGACCGAAATCGTGAAGATCATCCGAAACGAAGTTTTACATCATGACTACTGGTTAAAGGGTATTGTTGTAATGGAACGGTTCAATTAACACTGGCTTTATCTAGGATGGACCCGTGAAAAATGGCGACTAACGGGATCGGGTGGTCAGGCTCGCTGACTTCGTTGACACATGTCATCGTATTCCAATTGCTCATGCTGTTGATCACTGTATTGTCTGGTCTAAACTCGATTATTTACAGACCGCAGCCATATAGCGGGAATATTGCAGAGTGCGTCGTAAAACTAAACTCACTCACTCATTATTTAGGATGGTTCATAGATTCAACCTTGAGTCACGCTCGGTCCATTTCAATTAAATTGCATGACATAATAGTAAACTAAATAGAACTAGTGAAAAGTTTCGTTGCTCTTTATATCCTTTTACTTACAATTTGTTTTGCCAAACCAAAGTGTTGATGCTTATCCAATCGAGAGCGTCAGCCTTGGCCTTGGTTCTGACCTCCAAGAGATTCATGGATTTTCCTGAACAGAACTGAAGTGCATCGTTCCATGTCTTCTGTGCTTTGAATAGCTTTATCGTCGTCAGCTGCGTCTGGCTATCGATCACTAGAACACACGAATAATAAAGAAGCATTATTATCAACAAACATTATACGGAAGCCTTTAAGGGCCATGCAGGGTCTATAATGTTTTTCGGAATTGTAAGAAATAACAATGGCCCCAATAGGCTTCCGTAACATCCATTTATCACGACATCCCCAGATGTGACGAAAGAGAAGCGGTTTGTAATGATGTTTTCTCTATGGATTGTGGCATCGCGTCGATCGTTGCCGCTGTCATTGTTTCTGTTGGTGTTATCAAGATTCGATTATTTACAGTATTTGTAGTTGATAGTCCTACCAAGTAATACCATTCACCCACGTTTTTAATTAAAACCGTTTAGAAGAAAATGATAACTTTCGACTTAATTCCATAACTCGCTATTCAGACCATATCAATGCAAAAAAAATCCGAATAATCCGGAGAGACTTATTCCTCTCAGAGTGAGGAACTTGGCAAAAACGATATCAACGTACTATTATACACAGTATATTTATTACATGTCATCCTGACAAATAAATGAATATTTTTTGAAGCGACAATTCACTAACCTCAAAAAATAAACCAGGTTGAATTCCATGTACGCCCAAATAAGCCTTTTTATGTGAAAATAATGAATACCATTATTGACGAAAGGTTAGCAACATATAGCTATCATATATACTAAAACTTGTACTAAAAACTGCACATCTACACAGAATTGATGAACATTTCGCCATGGAATTCGGAGCGGGGTTTCAAAACAAACGGAGAGACGTTTAGATTATTGGTTTGTTCTGTGGTATCGATGTAAAGAAGATTTACAATGGTTGTTAATTATTTTACATACACTCCAAGTTTAACTACTTTACAAATGATGGGGTGGTGGGGTACCTGAATGGGTTAAAGCGTCCGGTCGTCACGCTGAAGACCTAGGTTCTATACCCCACATGGGTACAATGTGTGAAGCCCATTTTTTTCTGGTTTCTCACGTCTTGATGGCGAAAACCATATTCACTCACTCACTATTTAGGGATGGACAATAACAGTCTTTCCTTTCTAGCTGTAATTGTTACAATATCAAATGACATTGAAATAGAGGTATATTACAAATCAACCGATTCGTAACAATACCTCAATTACAATGTTACAATGTAGAATATATGTTTTAATAACACTGAAATTCACATTTTACCAGATGTTCTTAGATCGAACAGAGACTACCTTTGATAATTGCTTTTTTCGAATAATTGAAATGGACGTACAGTGTGAAATTTTCAGCACAAAATCAATATAAACCATCGAAAAATAATTGATAATTTGGGATATTTCACGTCATCAGGGACACGGTATATCTATTCAGGTGATTTGCTATAAAAAAATTTCGTCCGTTTCAAAGCTTTGAATATTTATTTTAATTCATATATTTATTTTGCATATTATGTTTAACGTGTGTCCAATAATTCGTTAACTGCACATGTAATATCAAATATTTACACTTACTAAATTTGGAAGGACATATTGACTGAAATTCGGTTTTAAACATCCTAAAATAGATATATCTTTGAAACAATATGTACTTTAATTCTGAGTTAAAAGTCGTTTAAACGAAGCAATTCGGAGTTCGTTTCTGCTCGTATCGATTATACAAACATTGCATGTAGCTGAACTCGCGACTCCATATACCTGCTTGTATATTGACGCATAATAATACCAATAGCATGGAATACATCTGAAATCAATGTACATACACAGTTCATTTTGTTGTGGCAACTAGATGTACTCTTAAAAGATAGATGACCGGGTTTTTTAAGACTTGACATCATGTTAAAAATAGTAATTTCAAGGAAAAGTTTTATCATCAGGGACCGTACATAATTTATGGCTAGGGGGGTGATGATGATTTTAAAGGGGAGGAGTGGGGTTGTTTGTCATTTATTTTGTTCGGGGAGGTAGGGGATCATCAATTTTGTAGATATGGGGGGGGGGGGTTCAGCAATTTTGTACACAAGAACAAGAATATTAAAAAGAATCATACTTAAAATTAGGGGGTTTCATTGATTTTGTACATGTCATGCAGGGGGGTCACTTACTTTGTACATAAAGTCGGGGGTGGGGGGTGGCATTCACATTGTACACGCTTCTCCGTAAAAATATCATCACCCCCCTAGCCATAATTTATGAACGGTCCCTAATAATGAACAAATATGAACAAATTACTACTAGTAGTGAAGTATGATAGTAGATGTTATAACCGGTTCTGGGCTCATTCGTCTTCAGCAGCCCATGCTTGTCGTAACGCCTTAACCACTATAGGCTACATCCACCGCCCCTGGCGGTTTGTAAGGGTGGTACAACGCGTGACCGTCGAGCGGGGTAAGGAACTGCATGTAGGCGATTTCGTCTGACGTGTAACCTGATGAAACGATTTTCTGTCTGAACTCGATTTTGTAGAACCTGAATCAGTTAAACCTGAACCTTGTCAGTGACCTAGATCACCCTGAACGAGACGATCGTCGACATTTCGGGTTTGTTGGTTGTTCCAGAGCTTGTTAATCACAGACTGTGAAACATCGAACATATTGGTAACTGCACGTACGCTGCTAGTTCCAGCCAATACACGATCCGCCAGTTGCAGACGCCGCATCCCAAAGAACGTCCATAAACAAGCAATACGTAAATTCAAGTAAATCACATTTCTATTGTTTGCAGAATCAAGTAAATTATTATTCAAATCGCTATTATTGGTTTGTATTACAAGGGAGTAAACGCAGTAATTGGAACAGTGATACAAATGCACGTGCAGTACGTGATGAGCGTTAACTTAGACCAACCCTACTTCTCGGTGTTTCATTTAATGTGCATACCCCTTTAATACAAACCAACAATAGCGATTTGAATCTATGATCGTTTGTTAAACAACATTTATCCTAAGTTGAATAAAATTCTGAGATTTAAATGTTCAATTGGCAAGGTAAAATCATGAGGATTCGTACTTCTAATTTCACTTTATTTGATTTACGTTTTAAAGTTAAATTCATCGGTACGTTTTCACTGCAAACAGACTGTAGTACATGCTCAAGGCGCTGGTATTGTTTCCCTCGATCATTGGATGTCAGTCTCAACAAAACATCGTATTATCAATCTCAACTCATACAACTCTTGCAGTTGTCAGAATTGTCAGAATGTCTAACTGTGATATAGATGTGCCTCTGTCACAGACAAAACTCAATGTCTGTTTTATTGACACCTATGTGTCTGCCTGCCTTTCTGCTAATGACAATATGCAATACACAACTTCGATCACTGACCACATTGACCAATTTGAACTTAACACCTATCAGGCTATACACCATAAACAAAACGCATTGATTTATGGCCCGAGTTCGGTCTCTGTCACATTATGTAATTACACAGACAGGCAGGTGTGATACTTGTACACATGACATGTTATGATGTCTGTTGATTGCAAAATGTTATACACAAAAAATGAGCATGTATTGACAAAACCCGACATCTCTATACACACACAATTGCCAAGAGCACTGAATGTATCGGCAAATGAACCAGCCAAAGAAAGGCTTCGTTACACTTGAGTGCACCCGTACCCGCTCTGACTGGGCTCGGTATCCCGGGTGCTTCGTTTCGAGGGAAGTAAACCTAAGTACAAAATATTGCACTTTTGATTTTCGATTGTACGCTTATAATTTTGTTTATTTGATTTTTCATAATCAGCAATGTATATTATATGTCATGACTAAGTGGTAATTGTTTTTTAATTATGTTTTTGTTTTTTTGGTTTCATGTGACCTTTAACAGCTGGCTGGACTGGACACAGTAGTTTGTCCAAGTTTACTGCACGTAGTTGTACCCGCATCAACGGTGTCCTCCCATTACGCAGACAGTCAGTTCGCAGACGCATTAAAACAACAACATTTACAGGTTAGCTACTGCCATGCACAGGTTAGCTACTGCCTGTTACCTACTCATTATAATGGAATAGGCCAAATAAAAACACAAGAAAAAATAACTGGAGCTATAATATTTACTTTGAAAGATGACCGAAAAGACATTAATTTTAATTTTGATTACTGCATTATAGAAACGGTTGCTTTTCATAAACATTTGGGTTTTAACTTTCTCGTCTAACGAGAGTCAGCGGCATCATATTGAAAACTTTGTCAAAAGACATCTAAAATGATTGGAGCATTTCAGAAATTAAAGTTCCTACTAAATAGAACAACACCAGTTTTTCTTCAGGATTTACTCCCACCTGTAGCAGGCAACAGACAAGTTATGAGTTAAAGAACTGGAATAATTTTAGCCAAACCATGTACAAGACTGAGGTACTCAACATCATCTGTTTATTCCATCAGCAGTTAAAAGGTGGAATAATATTCCCTTAGCTATTGGAAATTGCGACTCTGTTGCATCATTTAAATCTTATATCCATGTGAAAGAAAAATGTGCACCTAAATTCTATTCATATGATATAAGATACATGGTGAGTACACTTAATTATGATTTATGTAGAATAAATATAAATAAAATTACGCATCATGTCAATGTGGCCACGGATGTGAGAATGTTTTCATTACTTCATTGAATGTCTATTGTATACTATTCAAAGACACAAACTGTTACAATATTTAGAAAGTATTGTTAAAACTTGCATCACTGATTGATATTAATCTTATCGTACATGACCATGCAGGTCTGTCAATTACTGAAAATCAGAATGTTTTCAAATATGTACATATCTATTTCTCTCAAACAAAACGATTTCTCACTTAAATTCTGTTGTACATATCCTATTATTGGGAGAGGGCTTTTCAAAGCTGGATAACTTAACCCTTTTCTTGAATGAATATAATATGTTTCAATCATTTCAGTTCTATTTACACACTATCAAACTTCTCAGTAACGAACCTGTTTCAGGCTCATCCTGCTCTACTCACTAGACAGTGGACTGTTCCATTATACCCATAGGTGTTACCCTAATTAACCCTCTAGTTCAGTGTCTGTCA